GCAGTTCCCGGGCTGTCGCTTCTTAACGAGAAATCAGAAGAAATTGCCGGAACAATAAATTTACTCTCAATATGAGATGGTGATTTAATTCGATGGCATTGCACAAACAACTACACTATTGCTCAACTGATCTCGTTAATCAGTTCCTGTTAATCCCCATGAAGATGTTTATTCCCCATTTAAGCCAGTAATCACTAATCACTAGATGTGTATATGTTTATGATAAATGATTCAACGGTATGATATGAATGTGCGATTAATTGCACTGGGTTACAATTGATTCCAGGATGACTACAATGGATAATGCAACAATGGTAAGGATGGTTTTGCAGTTGAGATGAAAATAAAATGAAGATGATAAATAAATGCTTGTTGCATTATGAGATAAACTGAACCGGAACTTTATGCTTGGGCTTAATGAATGCTCAGATAGGAGAGATATTGTAGATATATGGATAAGGTGCATTGATCTTATGCGTTTGAGATTTAGCCTTTGCTTGAGCACGAGTCGAGTTCGTAACAAAGGAACGAGCACGTGATGCAATAAAGGCTAACACAAATGCATTATTCGGTGTTCTGGATTATTATAGTGCCCTCGAGGAAAGGAAAGCAGGACGGAGAGGACTTATTCCACCTGAACAGTGAGTGGTAGAAGCGAACGTGATGGGCACAAAACATTCCTCCGAGAAACACTGATGAATAATAAATATCAGAGAGTAAGTCATGTCAGCGTGATCAGATCAGTGACAATGGGACTGAATGACCAGTGATGAGGATAAGACATAGGTACGTACCACTTTATCATATCGGATGACCTGTTATCAGATCAGTGGTGAGAGCGAAACGACTGCTGATAATGGATAATGGTTATCGGCAAGGAAAATGAATCAAACATTTCATTCGAATGAAATCTTAATTGAGGACAATTCGAGTGATCTGTTTGAGCGATTTCCAGTGCAAACCATATTCATTGATGATGACCAGTGACCAGAGATTATTCAACAGATTAACTTTGAAGGATATTAGACCGATTTTTGACGGGGTTTTACTGAGTGAGGACTGCAATGGGATTATACGTTTACTTCTTCGAACTCAATACAACTTGGACATGTTTCGAGGATTTCTCTCAAACACATCTTCAACCTACTGACCATAAAACTTCTCTAGAGGTGAACCAAGAATAAACAAATTCGGAAATAAACATTCACAAACAATTAAAATGAAAACAATGAAAATATTCCAAAGTAATCTTTAGAAAAAATTAAAAAATTCTCGAAAGAACGTGGAAATCGTATTGATGAACTGATGATAATTCATGG